AATTGGATCATGCAGGCTATGACTACATCAATATAGTAATGGACTAATCCTTGGATGGATTAGTACTTTGAAGGCATTATTGGAAGGTGGTAGAAAATATAGTAGTTGGGGCCTAAGTTGGAGGCATTAAGTCACTGGATGTGTGCCCTGAAAGGGAATTATCTTGTCCCCAGTCCATCCTCCCTCTTTCTGCTTCCTGGCGCCATGAGGTGAGCAGGTTTTCTCCCCGACATTCTCCTACCAAGATGTTCTGCCTCACCTCAGGCCCAAAGCAATGGAACCAGCTGACCATGTATTGAAACCTCTGTAACTGTGAGCCAGAATAATCTTTTCTTCTTCTAAGATTTTTTTTTTTTTTCAGGCATTTTGTCCCAGTGATGAAAAGCTGACTAACACAGGTATCACATTAGTTTACTTTGCATTTCTACAGTGAAATACTGGAGGCAGTTAACTTTACAAAGAGAAAAGCTTTATTTAAGTTTTAAAGGTTTAGCAAGCATACCAAAGGTTTAGCAAGCGCTGCCACTTAACTGCATCACTTTGTGGTATGGATGGCAATGATTTTGCCAAAGCAAAAAGTGCGTCTCCAACCACAGCAGAAAGCTAGTGGATCAGAGTCCCACAATCTTTTCCAGGGCACATCACCAATGGTCTAAGGACCTCTCATTAGGCCTCACCTCTTAGGCCTCACCTCACCACAGCATCTCCCAACACAGCCAGCCACCCTGGGGACCAAACCTTTACATATGACTTTTGGGAAATATTCATCCAAACCATAGCAACTAAACTGTTTCACAACTCTCTTAGAAATTAAATTGTAGAAAACAGAAAATAATACAAATAAACTATAACCTACAACTTATTTCTACTATGTAAAAAAGATGGCTGCATTACATTTTATTGCCTTTTCAGGTACTAATCAGTTTCTAATCAGTGAGCAAATTTTGATTTGCGATATGTCTGCTCTTCAATTTTTTTTTTTTTTTAGTACTAGGGACATAGAACCCAGGAGTACTTAACCACTGAGCCACATCCCCAGTTCCTGTTTTTTTGTTTGTTTATTGTGTTTTTGTTTGTTTGTTTGTTTTGGAGACAGGGTCTCACTAGGTTGCCTAAGGCCTTGCTATTGGACTCAAACTTGTGATTCTCCTGCGGAAGACTCCCAAGTCGCTATTACAGGCATGCACCACATACCAGCTGCTCTTCAATTTTTTTAACAGTTTTTATGAGTTAAAATCTGTCATGTTGTTATGGTTTGGATGTGAGGTGTCTCCCAAAAGCTTACCTGTGAAACAATGCAAGAAGTTCAGAGGAGAAATGACTGGGTTGTGAGAGTCTTAACCGAATCAGTGATTAATCCCCTAATAGAGATTAACTGAGTGGTAACTGAAATGGTAGAATGTGGCCGGAGGAGGTGGGGATTAGGGGTGTGGCTTTGGGGCATATATTTGTATCTGGCAAGTGGAGAGCTCTCTGCTTTCTGATCACATGTGAGCTGCTTCCATGTACCACACTCATCTGCTATGACGTTCTGCTTCACTTCAAGCCCTGAGGAATTAAGCCAGTCTTCTATGGACCTCTGAAACCATGAGCCTTCAAATTTTTCCTCCTTTATAGTCGTTCTGGTTGGGTCTTTTAGTTGCAGCAGCAAAAAAGCTGAATAAAACATGTGTTAAAATAAATAAATAAATAAACCAAACACACTGTTGCCTGCGGAATAGTTTTTAATCTCCAAAGACCTCTTCTTCTGTTTAATCATGGAGTAATGTCTTAAAATTTGTGACTATAATTCTAGAATCCATATCAATGGCACTTTCCCACTTACCTTTCTTTTCTATTTCCTGCATTGTTTTACCTTTTTGAAGGCAAAGATGAAAGCCAAGGATCTGGGCTGAGATGTGGGATAAGGATGTGGGCTGCATTGCTTACAAGTTGTTTGTTTTGCATTTCAAGTTTCATGGGAACTTCTCTATTGAGACTCAGTTTACTATCTTTCTTTTTCTGTATTCCCAAATTTCTCTCTCAGCCCTAGCCAGTTAATGTCTATATGTGATGGTCAATTTAATATTACAAATATGCTACAGAGAGGTCTTATTCTATTGTGGAATCAAAGCCGAGAAAGCCAAACTATAAAACAAGAAGGAATGAAATGTGAGAATAAGAAGTGTTCGGAGTAAGAAAAGACTGTGTCTCATGGATTCCTCAAGACTGTCTGGTTATAGTCCCTTCTTGTAAATGATTCCATTCCTGCTCTTCAGATCCAAGAGACATTTCAGTGTATTTAAGACACGTTTGTCTTCTTTGCTTAAAGTAGCTTAATTTGTTGTGACTCAAAAGTTATAATTCATATAAGTTGTATAATTGCTTAATGCTAAAAAAGCATACTTCAGTATTCTCATATGGCCTTAAGAGCACATTTATATCATGTCTATAAGCTATATGTTTTAAACTGGTAGGTAAAATTTTGGATCTGCAAATTGCAAATTCAAATCTGCATTTGAAATGCATATTCTCTATTTAGCTTATAATTTCTATGTAATATTCAATTAAGAAATCTCTAAATCTTACCAATCTTGTGCCGTTGAAATACAATTTCAATATTAGCATGAAAAAAAGTCATTTAAACTTTAAAAAAGAAAACATTAAGCTGAGCACAGTGGTACATACATTCCTATAATCCCAGCAGCTCAGGAGGCTGAGGCAGGAGGACAAGGAGTTCAAAGCCAGCCTCAGCAAAAGCAAGGCACTAAGCAACTCAGTGAGACTTTGTCTCTAAATAAAATACAAAATAGGGCTAGGGATGTAGCTCAGTGGCTGAGTGCCCCTGAGTTTAATCCCCAGTACCCCACCCCCCCAGTTAGATTTTTGTGGTATAATAAATGTGGTATAATACATATTTGGTCTTTGTCCACAGTTCCTGGCATAAAATCAAATTATATACAGGGTCTGTAACATATAGAGCATCTGAAATCTGATTTTGTGAAATCTGTGAGAATAACTTAAAATCATTTTATCAAAGTTTGGGGAAAAAATCTTCAAAGAGGATATTTATGTTTCAAAAAGTTTGGAAAAACTAATTTACTTTGATAAACATATCATTTATCATTCATAATGAGCCATTTTCAAAAATACCTGCATTTATGCTAATAAGGTGATTTAGGGTGGGACCCCTATATAGCCTCAAAAGGGTGTTGATCACCAGAAAGACCAATTCGAGTGTAATGATATGGACTCAAGTGTACATAGGACTCTCTGCCCATAAATTCCCAAGTTGAGAAGTTGAAACTGTAACTCTCAGTGTGAAGGAATTTGGTGACAGTATTTAAGGAGTCAATTAAGATCACAAATAGGGCCTTTAATCTTATAGAACTGGTGTCCTTGTAAGAAAAAAAAGAAAACCAGAGCTCCTCCTAATCCAACCCTTGGTATAAGCACAGAGAAGACATAAGAATATGGTAAGAAGGTAGCAGTCTACAAGCCAGGAAGAGAGGATTCACCAGAAAACATCCCTAAGAGCACCTTGAACCTGAATTCTAGCCTCCAGAACTGAGAAAATAAGTTTCTATTTGCACCATCCTGTCTGCAGGGATTTTTTTTTTTTTTTAGGGCAGCCCTAGCAGACTCTCATAAGTGGGGATTTTCAGCTTCTCCTCTGGGGTCAAAAGGAACTAGAGGTTGAACTCCATAAACACTCTTGAATGAGATTCAGAGAACTTCCAGGTTAGAGAACACATAGAGGTGCTGGGAACCTGCTGTGCTGGTAGAAGGCAGGGAAGCTCTATGTAGTGCCCAGCCCCCAAACCATGCCCTGTATTCTCTTCCATTGGCTGTTCCTGAATTGTATTCTTTGTAATTTATAAACAGGTAAATGTAAATAAAGTGTTTTTCTAAGTTCTATGAGCCATTCTAGCAAATTATTAAACTTGAGGTGGCATCATGGGAATACCTAAATTTGTATTCATATTGGACAAAGTAAGGGTAGCTTGAGGACTGAAGACACATGATTGGCTTCTGAAGTGAAGGCAGACTTGAGAGACTTGTAAGTTTGGGTGATACTAGAATAGAACTGAAATACAGGATATATGATACAGAAAAATTGAAAAATCAGAAGTAGTATCAGAAAACATCTCAATTTAGTGTAACATTTTTGCAATATATATTTTGAATTATAAAACATTTGCAATCTTTGGTTCTTGTTTTATATTTATATTTTCTGAGATCTTTCATAATAATAGTCTGATTAAAAAATATATAGTTGGTAACATCATTGCAATTTAAAATCAAAACACGACCTGCATCTCATAGTAAAGCTAGGAAGTATACATATTACATGAAGTAATAAAACTTCTAGAAAGAATACACAATGATACATTATTAAGCACTAAACAGATGATTTTATTTAAGTTCCCCTTCAAAATGCATATACATGAATAAGATTGTACATGATAAACAAAAGGTTACCTAGAGTTCAACAGTCATATAAAAATAATGTAGGGCAAATTTTATTGATTTAAATAAGGCAAGTATTAAAAAGATTTTCAAGAAATTTCTCATAGTTGTATAATGAGCAAATATGAATATTGAAATTTTGGCTATTATTGTGCAGAAATGAAGGCAAGTGCATTTCAAATTGTAAACACTTTTAATACATAATACCATTAAATCTACAAAGTTGCTAGCAAGTTGTTTGATGTTATCCAGATCCTATAATATTTTCTCAATGTAAATTTTGGCATATTTGAATTCATAGGCTCAATTTTATATCATGGAAAATAATAAAATTCCAAGGTATTTCTGCTTCTTTAAGGCATCAAATTACAAATGTAATTTTCTTGGCTAATATAATTCAAGTACAGTAATACTAAAGGACCCACAATACTGGGGACTGAACCCAGGGCCTCACACATGGTAGGCAAGGAAAGAAAAAAATCTACATTCCCAACCCTTTTAAAATTTTTTCTTTAATTTAAATATTAATTTAAATCACTAAGTTGCCGAGGCTGGCCTCAAACTTGTGATCCTCTTGCCTCAGCCTCTTAAGTAGCTTGAATTATAGGTGTGCACCATCACAACATTATGACAACACATAATTGTAATGAAACCAAATCTATCTGAAAAAAAGGGAAATCATAGAGTTGTTAAACAAAAGTGCAAACTAACATTAGAATCAATGGTATAGATTTATATAAGAATACTTATTTTAAAGCCTTTTCTCTTTTCTGAAACATAAACAGTAGATTGTATTCTAATTATTCAACGATCAACCACGTTTCTGTAGAGGTCTCTTTTAATTTTTATACCTGCTAACATGTTCACGAGCTATAATAAGCCTTTGAATTTGGGCAGTACCTTCATAAATCTGTAAGAAAAATATAAAAGTAGGTTAAATATCTTTTGTACATAAATAACTTCATTTATTCAATATGTGGACAACAGTAGAAGCTTCATTTTAATACTAAACTGAATCAAACTATATATAGGGTCTGTAGCATAAAGAGGGTCTGAAACCTGATTTTGTGAACCTGTAAGAATAGCTTAAAATCATTTTATCAAACTTTGGAAAAAGTCTTCAAATATCAAAGAAGAGGATATTTATGTTTCAAAAAATTTGGGAAAACTGAAGTTTAAAATTGCTGAAATACCTATCCAACTTTTCTGAATTTTCTTATCTAGTCACTTTCAGGAATTTTCTATTCTTCATATTAAACCTAATTTTTTCCCTCCTGCTTCTTAAGCACAGATATTAAAAGAAACAAGGATGTTGGGAGGATTTGGTTTTGGTCACTTACATATTCCAAGTAGTAAGCACTCACTTCCATTCTAAGTTTCTAACCCTAGGTAGCCATTTGTTAGTTCATTTTCTCAGATGGTAGAGAAAAGTTAAATAATTGATAATAACATAATAATTACAAGCCTCAGGAAAGGGAGACTATTACCAGATAAACTTCTGATTTTGGATATGAACAAATTCTGGTCCTCAGTTGTTTTCATGTTTAAATGGGAGGCTGCAGTATGTCTAACATATTATCTCTAGAATTCTTTTTTTGGGGGTGATTGGAGAGGTACTAGGGGCTGAACTTAGGGACACTGAACCACTGAGCCACATCCTCAGCCCTAGTTTGTATTTTTTATTTAGAAACAGGGTCTCACTGCATTGCTTAGTGCCTAGCTTTTTGCTGAGGCTGGCTTTGAACTCTCGATCCTCCTGCCTCAGCCTCCCGAGCTGCTGGGATTACAGGAGTGTGCCACTTCACCCAGCTTCATTTCTAGCATTCTAATTCCACTCAAGATTTCAAATGACTGGATTTGTCAAACAATTTGGTGGGGGTGAGGCAGCAAGGGAAGGAATATTAAGGAGCATGTCTTATAATTAAGCCATGAATGAAGAAGATGCCCATTTTTGTCTTATTTGCTAAATTATACCTAAGTTTTTCTAACCACAAATTTAATTTAGAAATCAAATATCACTGTCGCCTCATGGTGACATCTGACTACAACTATGGTTTTAATGAATCTGAGAGTAATCAGGCAAGACTCAACATAATTTTAAATGGCATGCATACTTTTGGGGAGAGCAAAATGTGGGCTACAATTAGTTAAGATGTTAATACTCAAAGAACACTGATCCAGACATATATGTCTTCATCATTTACTTTGTTAGCCTAGTCCCTTCTAGGTCCTATACTTAATCAAAAATAACATTCTTTTTTGTGCAGGTTGGTTCTAAAAAGTAGTTCAGCCATCCATAATAGTGAGTTTTATATGACTAGTGGCATAAAATCTCTAAATAATAAAAAATCTATTATTTATGAATATTCTATCCCCCAATAAGCAACAAAAAATCATTTTTAATCTTACCTGATAGATCTTGGCATCCCTCATTAGTTTTTCTACAGGATATTCTGTATTAAATCCATAGCCTCCAAAAATCTGCACAGCATCCGTGGCTAATTGATTTGCAATATCTCCAGCAAATGCCTTTGCAATAGAGGCATAATAGGTATTTCGGCGACCAGAATCAACCTCCCAAGCTGCTCTCTGGTAACTTAATCTAGCTAGTTCAACTTTCATTGCCATTTCTGCCAGCAAAAATGCTACTCCTTGGTGCTAGAATTAAAAAGAAAGCAATTTAAAGACACCTCTTGACAAAATTTAAAATTTTTCTCCTAGAACTTCTTTAAAAATTAATTTTAGACTTGCAGAAAAGCTATTCCTACCTTCCCTTAATGCTAATGTATTATACAACTACAGTACAATGAGCAAGGACAGGATATTCATAATTGGTATATTATCAACTAAACTACAGACTTTACTCAAATTTGGCCAGGTTTTCCACTATCCTTTCTTTTCCATGATCACACACTGAATTTAGTTATTTCTTCATAAGTTCTCTCAGGCTGTTTGCTCAGCCTTTGTCTTTCATGACTTTGTCCTTTGGAAGAATACTGATTGATCATTTTTTGTAGACTGTCCCTCAATTTGGGTATATCTAATGCTTTCCCATAACTGGTATAAGCTTATGTATGTACTTTGAGCACAAATACCACAAAATATATATATATTCTTCTAGTGTCTTCTGGGATATTTTTATTAATAAAATTGCTACAGATAGAGAAAAATAGCATGGTAAGGTGTAAGATACTGATAACATGCTTCATAACCCCTAGATATTCATAAGCATATAGACATAAAACAAATATTGTCAATAATAGGTAAGTGCTCTATGATTTATATAGTCAAGATGTGTTACAATATGTTTACCATATATTATGTGAAATTTTCAAATATATAGTATAATTTGAAAAAATATACTCATAGAAAAAAGAATAAAGAGTGAAATATTCTCTGCAATTATCTCTAGATGATAGAATCATGGAATTTTATTACTTAATTTAACTTATATTGTTATAATACAAAATATTTTACAATAAAATGACATGTGCTTTTAAATAATATACATTAAAAGAAGCTCTATAGGCATTCAGAAACAATAAGAGGACTAGAAACCTGTTCCTTTAGTAAGCACATCAAACTGGACTTTGAAAACTTAGATGTTATGAAAACCACATATGTTCTAACCTAACTACAAACTAATATAAACCAACCATCATAAAAAAAAAAAACCAGAACTGTTTAATTTCATATACTCACTATATTTAGTAACTGAAACCTGGCTGCACTGTTTTGGAATGTGACAAGTTACTTGAGATTGACTTAGGTCTTCTAGGAGGCATAATTAACCAGTATGAATAACTCCTGTGTGCAATAAGCAGGATAATATCCTCCCTTATTTAAACTTGCCTGAATTGTTTCCTTTCCTCTAATCCAATAATTCTTTTAGCTTTTTAAAAATCATTTTGTTATTTTTGAATAAGTAAAATAGCTATCAATTCAAAGTCAAAAACTGTAAGTGGATGTTGTTATTGTTTAGATTTTAAACGTCCCCCTAAAGCTCTCATACTGAAGGCTTGGTCCAGAGCTGATGTTGCATTGGGAAATGGTAGAAATTTTAGGAGGTAGGGGCCTCGGTGGAGGATTGGTCACTAGGGCGTGCCCTTTAAGGGTATATTGGGACCCCAGGCCCCTCCCCCTCTCCTCTCTGCTTCCTGGACACCAAGAGATGAGAAACTGCTCTGCTACATATTGCCAGCCATTATGTTCTGCCTAGCCACAGGTCTAAAGTGACAGTGCCTAGTAACCATGAACTGAAACCTTTGAAACCATGAATCAAAATAAATCTGTCTTCTGATTAAGTTGATTATCATAGGTATTTTGTCATAGCAACACAAAGCTAACACAGATATATAGTAAAAATGTTTCCTTTCTTATTCTACCATACCTGCCCACTACCTACTCCACTTAATTCCCCTCCTAAGAGTTAATCAATGTTCAGGTTTTTTTTTTTTTTTTAATTCTCATAGATATTCTCACATATGGAAGCAAACATATCTATAGTCTTCCACATTTTTACACATCTTCTATACTACTACATTGATGGATTTTCATTCTGCTTTTCTTGTCTCAGAGAGCTTTCTATATCAATGCATAAAGAACTTCCTGATTTTTTATAGCTACAAAGTATTCCATCCATTCTATGGACAATAAACATTCTGTTTTTATCTACACAGTGCTGAAATGAAAGTTAAAAATCTTAAGGAATATAGATTATGGATTACATTATGTGGGCCCAAGTCTAAGTTCTTTTGATATATTGCCAAATGTGGTTCATAAAAGTTGCACCAATTTATATTTCTATTGACAACATGGGCAAATATTTATTTTATCACAGCTTTGGCAAGCTAATACATAACAGAAAATTTCTTTAAGCTGCCCATATGCCTCAGGAGATTTTGATTTAAAATATCTGGGGTGGTACTCACTCCCAGGGAGTCTCATTCAGTTGGTAAACCCAGTTCAGACCTCCTGTGGTTTTGTTCAGCCCATAACAAGCTCTCTACTTTTGGTTCGTTACTCTGCCTTGTAGTTATTAGATTAGGACTTAAATTTTATACTGCCCTATTTTATTTCTAAGACTTTAGAATATTTGTTTTATGACAGTATCTTACCTCCGAAGTAGCACTAAAGGTTCCTGAAGGAATAAACTGTTAAATTTCTTTTCTATCCCTCCCTTGGAATACCACACGTAGCATGTAAGGAGGATAGGCTCTTTTAATAAGTGACTACTTGGGTTCAAGTCTTGGATCCATCATTTGTTGGGTAGGCCTAATGTTTTTACATGTGATAAATGAAAATAACAGTACCTACTCTCCAGTATTCTGAGGATTAAATGAATTGATACATGAAAAGCACTTAGAATAGTGCCTGAAACAGAAATAGCATCTAATTATTATAATTCTAATACAGTAAGTGTTCAATTACTATTTATTAAATTAAATAGAAGTTAACAGTAAAAAATATATCCTAAATGATAAGAGCATAAAGGTTTCTAAAAACAGAAAATCCTTTCTCACTTATATTCCAGTGAGAGTATAAGGGGTTATAATAAAGAAACATATATATGATATAATGTTAGATAGTAATAAGAGTATGAAGAAAAATGGGCAGGATTAATATATAGAGTGTTGGAGGTATTATTGTACATAGAATGAACAGAGCGGATCTGTTAGTGAAATAATCGGGAAGTGAATGAAATGAAAAAAAAATATTCTTAAGCATATTTTGGGGAAAAGTAAAAATAAAAAGACAAAATGGTTGACAGAAGATCAGTGGAAAGACTTTAGAATTTAATCTTCATGTGATGAGAAGATACTGGCAGAATTTTGAGCATAACATAATTAAGGAAGAGGAAAGGAACAAAAAGTGAATTTAGTTTTGAAATTCCTACAGGACATTAAGTAGGGAAGTTAAGGAGGCATCTGAAAATCCAAGCATGAAGCTCAGAGAAGAGATCAAGGCTAGAGACATAATTTGTAGTAACTGACACATATTTTGTCTTAAAAGCCATAGAATAATACAAGATCACACAGGGAAAGAGTTTTCATAGTTCCCACTTAACAGATGACAAAATCGAGGTGGAAAGAAGCTAATTAAATTGCTCAGGGTCTCAAAATCGTCCTTTGTTGAAGGAGGATTCAAATTTAGTCCTGACCTTCAGTCCAGACTCTTTTTTATTAAGTCATACTGTTTTCCAAAGAGAAAAATAATACTAGCAGCCCCAAGTTTCATTACTCTGAATGGCAGAATGAATTATTTTCCATTTTTCCTGACTGGGCTGCCACTGACCACCATTCATAGAGGAGAATGCAAAACAGAAAAAATAAAGGAAGGAAAAAGAAATGTAAATATTTTTTCTTGATAAGTAAATCATATTTGAGTTTTGAGTTTCATAGCATTTTCACCCTCATCCACTTTCCTATCAAGAAATGGTTACTGTAGGAGAAAAGTTATTGCTAATTAACAATAATAATCAATATAATGGGAGTTTATTCTTAATAGATTCTTTCATAATATCCCAGACTAGACTGCACCAACTTCACCCAAAGTGTTTTTGTTTGTTTTCTTTTTTGGTGGTTACTGGGATTAAACTCAGGGACACTCTATATCACTGAGCAACATCCCTAATCTTTTACAAAAAATTTTTTTTTTTTTTAACTTTGAGACAGGTTCTCAACTAAGATGCTCAGGGCCTCACTAAATTGCTGAGGCTGGCCTTGAACTTGAGATCCTTCTGCCTCAGTCCTTTGAGTTGCTGGGATTACAGATATACACCACCAAACCCAGTTCAAAGAGTTTTGACTAGATAAAAGAATATACAATTATTGCCATTAAGGGATTTTATCTTCATAATATATAACTGATGTTTCTGGTTTTAATCATTGGTAAGAAAAAAATACCATCTTCTTACTTTTAGCAACTATCAGGCAGCCACATCAGGTTAAGCAAAATAAAGATAAGAAGCGGACACAGCATTCACATAAAGAGAGAAGCAATAACAACAATAAACATACTAGTGAATGAGAAAGTTCTTATTAGAGTACCATTCTATATATTCCAATAAAATAAAATTAAATTAAAATAAAAGTCAGCTGGGTATAATAGCACATGCCTATAATCCTAGTTTCTCAGGAGACGGAGGCAGGAGGATTGCAAATTCAAAGCAAGCCTCTTAGGGAGAAACTGTCTCAAAAAAAAAAAAAAAAAAAATTAAAAGGGCAAGGCATGTTGCTCAGTGGTAAAGTGCCCCTGGGGTTCCATCTGCAGTACCAAAAACAAAAACGAAAAGTGGAATAATCCCAATCTTTCTTTTTGGAGTTAATGGACACAAGCTACATATACACCAGTTCCTTAGAAAGAAAAAGAAAGAGTCTGAGAAATGATAGAAATAGAATGAGGAATAACTAAGAGCTATACCAAGACTGGTTATGTTTGAGTTGGAAAAAGAAACAGCAAGTACAATAAAATATCATTTCCTTTTAGAAAGTAATGAACAGGTCCTATAGTGTTAATTTAATATTTCAATGTAAATAAGCAGAAGAATAAAGTAGACTGCATAGAGGGTCATAAATGAATCTGAATAATATGGACAGAAAAACAATATTGGTGGTAAAACCTAAGTTTTATTAAAAATTAACAAAACATACTAAATTTTTACCATTTTACCTCCCTCCTGCCATGTTTATAATACACACTCAACATAAAAGATTTAAGTTTTTTACTTTGCTTGGCTCCAAGTTTCTATGTGTTACCAGAGGAGTATATGGTTATATCTTATCACATATTTCCTAATATCTGACATGAAACCCCTAAACAATTATTTAAGCATGGATTTCAAGTATGAAGTGACTCTTCTTAATCATAATACTAACTATATACAGAGAATACAAACTAGCAGATTGGAGCTGCAAAGAGCACACAGATTGGGGGTACCTGGTAAAAGGGTGACAGGGAATTATGATACCACATCACTATACTTATTAATTAAAATGTATTTCTTTTTTTATTGGTTGTTCAAAACATTACAAAGCTCTTGACATATCATATTTCATGCATTAGATTCAAGTTGGTTATGAACTCCCAATTTTATCCCAAATACAGATTGCAGAATCACATCGGTTACACATCCACATTTTTACATAATGCCCTATTAGTAACTGTTGTATTCTGCTACCTTTCCTATCCTCAACTATCCCCCCTCCCCTCCCCTCCCATCTTCTCTCTCTACCCCATCTACTGTAATTCATTTCTCTCCTTGTTTATTTTCCCATTCCCCTCACAACCTCTTATATGTAATTTTGTATAACAATGAGGGTCTCCCTCCATTACCATGCAATTTCCCTTTTCTCTCCCTTTCCCTCCCACCTCATGTCTCTGTTTAATGTTAATCTTTTCTTCCTGCTCTTCCTCCCTGCTCTGTTCTTAGTTGCTCTCATTATATCAAAGAAGACATTTCATAGAGTACTTAAGAGGGAAGCAAATCTTCAGTAGAAATAAATGATAAATATCTAAGACTGTATTTTAAATTAAATAGTAAGCAAAAACTAGGAATTCTTCATATGACTTTTCCTATACTGAATAAGAATCTTCAGAACCTATAAGAAAGGGAACATAAAAGGAGAAGATTCCATATTAAGTTGAAGAAGAGTCAAAAAAAGAGTTATCTTCAGATAATCTGGTAAGAAGAACCTGAAAGGGGCTGGGGATGTGGCTCAAGCGGTAGTGCACTCGCCTGGCATGCAGCGCTGGGTTCAATCCTCAGCACCACATACAAATAAAATAAAGATGTTGTGTCCACTGAAAACTAAAAAAATAAATAATAATTTTTTTTCTCTCTCTCTCTAAAAAAAGAACCTGAAAGATGACAGATCTTAATTTTATAGTATATATAGATATTACTTATTTTGAATAAGCTAAATTAACATTTAATATAATGTACTTATAATGTACAGAAGTTCCAAGTAGAAAAATTAATGTAAAAGAACAGCTTATGGAATGGTAAATCTTTGTGGTACTTGACAAAAATAGAAAAAAAGGTACCAAAGTCAGGCTCTAGGCTGCTTCAACAATGTACTAAGAAAAATAATACCTCCTGCAGATAAGCTTAGAAGCAAAAATTAAAACAGGAGATAACTGGCCATAATGAAGTTGCCTGATGCAATATACTAAAAGATTGGCACTAAGAAATCCAGAGATAACAGAATAAAATCTGAAGTAAACTATGAATGAAGAATTTTTGCATGATTATGGAAATAAAAGGAAAAAGAGATACTATGTTTAAAAAAACCAGAATACCGTAATAGAAGGGAAGAAATGGAAAAGAACCTAATATAAATATATGTTATGGAGATTAAATTTTGTCATTAAAAATGTAATAGGATTAGAAAATTAGAAACTATACCTGAGAAAACCATTTAGAATACAGAATAGAGAGATACTAATCCAAATTTGGTCTGTCCTTAGTGGTAGTCTACAACCTATTACTGGTTCAGGATACAGAAGGTAGGTGACAGCAAGCATTTAGAAACTTTTATAGCAATTAAACATTTTGTGACATTTGTGAAAGTTGCCAGTAACAAAATAAAGTCACTTAGGTCTTAATGAAACAGAACTGAGGCCATAAAGGAAAGTCCCTCACATATGTATGTCTATGACAGGAAGTTCACAAGGAATTCCACAAAACTGCAGAATTTCAGATAATTTGCTTGCACATGAACACTTGCCTATAAATGGCTGTCTATACCAATGAGCTAATGTCAACTTCTGCAACAAGTCCCCAATGGTCTTTGCTATAGAACAACTTATATGGACTTCCTCTATCTTTAAGAGTTTCCTATTGTCTCAACTCCCTCAGATGTGTCTATGATCTGCCCTAGCATGCATATTTATATTATAATCCATTACTATTTTCAAATAAACTCTTTGTTTCAGAGTCAGCTCTGTTACTCAATTTAGGTTGAGTATTATTAAATTTTATATTTTATTAAAATATATTATATTTTATTAAAAAATGATCCACCATTGATTGGAAATTAAACTCATTTTTCACCAAAGATGATTTGAGAATCACTAACATATGGTGATACAAATAGGTTCACTGTACATGGTAGATTATACATGACAGAATATAGTTAATGGGGAAATCAATGTTTGAAGAGTTAAGAATTTCTGTGGTAATTCATAGAAGACTTGACTTTGTATTTTCAATTGGTTAATGAGAATATTTATTATTTTAAAGCAAGTAGCAATGACTTTGGATGCCTATTTTAGAAAATACAATGAGAAAGATGAATTTGAGAAGCCAGTTACAAGGGAAGTGATACCAGCATAATTAAGATACAACAGTGGTGATGTGGGGATGCAGGAAGGAATCAAGACATATTTCAGGGGTGGGGGTTATGGCTCAGTGGTAGAGTACTTGCCTCATACATGCAAGGCCGTGAGTTTGATCCTCAGCACCACATAAAAATAAATAAAGGTATTGTGTCCAACTACAACTAATAAATAAATAAATAAAGACATATTTAAGAGGTAGGATTGACAAATTTTATAAAGGTACAGTGTAATATGCTAGAATCAGAGAGGCCAGGTGCAAAAACTGGTTCTGCTTCATGTTAGTTTTGTGGTCTGGAGTGAATTGTAAAATATTTTTGAGATTTAATTCCCTCATGGGTCAAATGGGAGCAATGTAGGTTGCTGAGAGGATTAAATGCTCATGTGTGGAAAGTATTTACAACAGTGGAAGACCTGACTTTTCAGTACTAAAATCTGATACACAAGAAGATATAGAAAGTAACATGGACTAAAAGCATAAAATAGAATCCTGGATTTGTGGTTTTTAAATTGTATAGACTTGGAAAAACTACTTAGTATCCCTAAAGCTCAGTTTCTAGATCTTTAAGAGAGATTAAATTTAAAGCACCATGAAGAAAAGGGATACTGGGAGATTTAGAAAATGTATTTAAATACATAGTATAGTTAGTGTCCAGGTATACAAGAAGTACCCAATAAATGTTAGCTGTTCCTTTTCTTCTTAAAATAATCCCCAGAGCAACCAATGGTTACTGGCATTGTCTAAAGAAAATTTATTGTTAAAAACCATCCTCATAATACTCTGGTTATCTTCTTGCTACCAAAGTAAGAAATAGATATTCCGATAAAAATAAGTGTCTTTACATTTTACAAAACAAGCACAGTGTTAAATTACCTCTACAAGCAGCTTTCCAAAAGTTTTCCTCTCCAGGGCATACTTGGTAGCTTCATCCAAAGCTCTTTGTCCTAATCCAACAGCACCAGCTGCTACCTAGTATTTTAATAGTTCGTAAAGAAATAGTTAATGTTGTCTTTAAAACACAATATATGGCTACCTGCCTAAGATCTATGTTAAGGATTATGCAAGAGAAAATAACCTGTAGTTTAAGGCAGTTGGAGTATGGGGGGTGAGAAGAATCAAGGCAATTATTTATGAATTAAAGGTAGTGGTGGGGCTGGGGATGTACCTTAGTGGTAGAACATGCACTTAGCATGCAAGAGGTCCTGGGTTTGATCCCTAGTACCAACCCTCCCTAAAAAAGGTAATGGTAGTCATTTGTAAAGCACAGGATAACCTAGAAGACAGACATTCTCTGTTTGAAAAGGGAAAGCCTCAGAGGGGAAATACTCTTAATAGGTAAAGGAATAAGAAATACATAATCAACAAAAATGATCAAGTGTGTGGACTGCCTCTCTGTAAATCTACAGAAACTACATTAATTTTGCATTTGCTAAAATAATTTCTATGAGCAGCAAAAAAAAGCTGAAGAATTATAAAAGATAAAAGTAACATTTCCCCTCCATCCTTACTAAAATAAAGACATTAAAAAACACATTAGGCACAGTAGTGTGTGCCTATAATCCTTGAAGCTTGGGATGCTGAAGCAGGAGAATCACAAGTTTAAAGCCAGCCTCAGCAACTTAAAAAGTCCCTAAGCAACTCAGCAAGACCCTGTCTCCAAATAAAACACAAAAAAGGGCTGGGGATGTGGCTCAGTGGTTAAGCACCCCTGGGTTCAAACAACAACAAGGAAAACAACCCCACCAAGCATATAATGTTAAAATAAAAACTTACTTAATGTAATAAAGAATCCTATAAACTCATATTACTCACTGTTGGTCTGGTTCTATCAAAAGCTCCCATTGCAATTTTGAAACCAGCTCCTTCACCAATTAAAACATTTTCTTTAGGTACTTTCACATCTTCAAAGACAATTCCTCTTGTATCTGAACATCGCTGGCCCATGTTTAACTCCTAATAGGAAAATTGTCATATTTTAATATTTCTGAGTCACATCGGTTTCAGCTTTAATCATTGTTAGACGCCTTTCTGCAATTATCTAAAGCAGGGGCAACACATTATGGCCTTAATCCTGTTTTTGTAAATAAAGCTTTAATGGAATACAAACACACCTGTCTGTTTATATATCTTCCATGGCTACTTTCTTGTTACAATGGAAGAATTGATAAATTGCAACAGAGACCCCAGAGCCCACAACTTGGACCTTTATGAAAACCCTTGTGTTTGCCAAACCCCAAGCCGAATATGATATTTCATAAACTTTGAAATTAATACTAGTCTAAAGGTCTACAAATTGATTAATCTTTGTATATGTCTGAAAAGTATCTTTTTTATCATGAGTGTCAGGAAAAGCATTTAGTAAACATAATTTGATTAGGGTCTTTAATCTTAGCATAACTAACAGAGCTAGTGATGTAATTTACTGATTAAAAACTGGATTTTGCTTTCCCCTCTTTCTTAAAATTAGGTTTAGCCTAGGCAAGAATATTGTAAGTTCAAGTCCAGACTCAGCAACTTGTCTCAAAGTTAAAAAATAAAAGCAGTGGGGATGTAGCTCAGTTGTACAGTGCCCCGTATAGGAAAAGAAAAATTAGGTTTATTCAAGTCAAATGTACACAAAGAAAAATTTTAGGTAGTTTCCCCTTATCTGAAGGGAGTATGTTCCAGGATTCCCAGTGGATGCCTGAAACTGTTAATTGTACCAAATCTTTCAAATACTATTTATATGTATATTTATAAATTAAATTTTATCATATGATCATATATATTATCTATACATATATGTATGATATATATCATATGTACATATATGTAATAGTTTAGTTTATAAATTAGACACAGTAAAATAATGACTTAACATCACATCTCAAAGCCCTAGAAAAAGAAGAGCAAACCAACATCAAAAATTGTAGAAGACAGGAAATAATTAAAATCAGGGCAGAAATCAATGAAATTGAAACAAAAGAAGCAATTCAAAAAATCGACAAAACAAAAAGCTGGTTCTTTGAAAAAAATAAACAAAATTGAAAATCCTTAGCCACCTTAACACAAAGAAGGAAAGGAAATATCACGAAAAGGAAATATCACGACAGACATTATTGAAATACAGAAGACAATTAGAAACTATTTTGAAAATTTATACTCCAGTAAAATAGAACACCTTAAAGACACCAACAAATTTCTAGAGGCATATAATCAACCCAAACTGAGTCAAGAGGACACAACAGATCAATTTCAAGCAAGGAAATAGAAGAAGCCATCAAAAGCCTACCAACCAAGAAAAGCCCAGGATCAGATGGTTTCATAGCTGAGTTCTACAAGGCCTACAAAGAAGAATTAATACCAAAGCTTCTCAAATTATTCTATGAAATAGAAAATGAAGGAACCCTTCCAAACTCATTCTACAAAGCTAGTATCATCCTGATACCAAAACCAGGCAGAGACACATGAAGGAAAGAAAATTTCAGACCAATATCCTTGATGAATATTGATGCAAAAATTCTCAACAAAATTCTGTTTGTATTATTTTTTAAATATATTTGTTTTTAGTTGTAAGTGAACTCAATGCCTTTATTTTTATTTATTTATTTTTTATGTGGTGCTGAGGATTGAACCCAGTGCCTCACCTGCGCTAGGCGAGCACTCTACCACTGAGCCACAACCTCAGCTCCCCGTTTGTATTCTTGATGTCTGTCATTCTGACTGGAGTAAGATAAAATGGTATTTTGATGGGAATTGAGGGACTGCATTAAACCTGAATATTGCTTTTGACAACATTGGCCACTTTGACAATATTATTTCTGCCTATCTGTGAATTTGGGAGATTTTTCCATCTTCCTGTGTTTTCTTCAGTTTTTTTCTGCAATGTTCTATAGCTTTCATCATAGAGGTTTTTCAACTCCTTGGTTAGAATTATTTCTAGGCAGTTTTTTAATTTATTTTTCTTTTTGAGATTATTGTGAATGGGATTGTTTTCCTGATTTCATTCTAACAGATTCAATATTGGTGTATAGGAAAACTGCTGATTTTTGTATGTTGATTCTAGAATCTGCTACTTTGCTGAATTTTTTTTTCTTTTCTTTTTTTTGGTACCAGGGATTGAACTCAGGGGCATTCAACCACTGAGTCACATCCCCAGCCCTATTTTGTATTTTGTTTAGAGACAAGGTGGCACTGAGTTGTTTAGAGCCTCGCCATTTCTGAGGCTGGCTTTGAACTCATGATCCTCATGCCTCAGCCTCTGGAGCCACTGGGATTACAGGCATGTGCCACTGCGCCCCGCCTGAATTTGTTTATTACCTCTAGTAGTCTTCTGGTAGAGCTTTTTGGATCTTTCTAAGTATAGAATGATATCATCTGCAACATATCATCTGCAACAGTGATCATTTGACTTCTTCCTTTTCTATTTTTATCACTTTTATTTCCTTCTCTTGCCTAATTGCTCTGGCTAGAATTTCTGGTTACTCTACTGAATAGGAGTGGTGAGAGTTAACATCCTTGTCTTGTTTCAGATTTTAAGGAAATGGTTTCAGTTTTTCCCTATTCATTATGATGCTGGTTTTGAGTTTGTCCTATGTAGCCTTTCTGATGTTGTTTCCTCCCAATTTTAGCAATCAGGAATAAACTAGCCAAAATATTTCTGCATAGGATTTTGTTTCCATTTCTCTCACATAAATACCTAGAAGTACTGGGTATGTGGTGTATGTTTATAATTTCTTATAAATTTATAAGAAATTGCTAAACTATATATTTCTTCAACTCTTTGCTTTGAAAATTTTCAAACTAATAGAAGAGTTGTAGAAGTAGTATGAGTACTAATATACCTTTTACTTAATTTCACCAATTGTTGACATTTTGACACATTACTTTATTTCTTTCACTGTGTATGTATGCAACTATTAGCATCATACTGAATTATTTAAGAGAAGTTGCAGACAATGATTCTCCTCTTTAAGGAAAAAAAAATTAATCTTGTTTTAATAAGCAAGAGGAGAAACAGGCAATGGAAACATAAAGCTATAAGCTTATCCTTTAATTTTCTTGTTTAAATATTAATAATATTCTTCTAGGTTTTAACAAATAGTGACAATGTATAGTTTGACTCAGGAAAAACCAACATCCCTTTACTTTGCCTTTATAAATTAATAAACTCTAGTACCTTAGACTACCATTCAGGTATAATGAAAAAACATTATTTACAAAACACTGTTTAACCTGTTTCCCAGAATCACCTCCAAGCCCCACATTTAAAACCAAAATGCTTCCTTGATTCAACTCAAACTATATAATTTCTAAAACACACAACATTTTGAAAACATCAAATTTTGCAAATGGACATTTGTTTCAAAAAGTTTTGGGAAGGCTTAAATATATACAATATAATTATCTGTACCCCTTCACTAGAAAGTGAGTTCTCCAAAGACAAGGGATTTTATCTGTTTTAATAAATGCACTATCCCTAATATCTAGAATGGTGCCTACTTGCACTCAATAATAATATTTATTGAATTAGAGATGCTTTAAGTGAGAAAACTGGATAAAAAGACAATGAGATTAGAAATAGCAAGATAAAATCAGGAGTGGATTTACTATGGAAAAAAGAAATGTAAGTTGGTAAGTCTTTCATACTTTATTTCTACAGATGGGCCATACAATTGGCCCTGAGTTTGCTAGCAACCATCCCTAAGCAGGAAACATGACATGTTATACAAATAAAATTCAATTTATTTGAAGAAACACAACATTCTTAGTACTTATATTTTGTTTTATAAATAATATCACTAGGTGTAGTCTACCTTTAATGCGTTCTTTTAAAAAATATAGCACAATAAAGTGTCAGAAACTGCAGTGGACAAGTTCCTAGAAAACTTTATTACTGATCTCAATTCAGCCTCTTAGGTTTGTGACCTTAAGTAAATCATTAACTTGGTTCTCAGATTCAATAATCAGTGAAGAGACTGAAATAAATAACACGTAGGGTAACTTTCACCTTTAAAATTTCACAACTTAAAAGAGAAGTTTACATACTTCCATTTTAAGGAGGTTTGGATACAACAGGAAAGATTCTTTTTTGTTTCAGTGCTAGGGACTGGACCCATGGTGCTCTACCATTGAGCTACAACCTCTTTCCATTTTATTTTGAAACAGGGTCTCCATAAATCGCCCAGGCTTGTCTCCAACTCCTGCTTCAGCCTCCTGAATAGCTGGAATTACAGGCATGCACCACAACATAGAGATTCTGATGTAGTTTAAGAAAACAGGATTCTACACATTCATAAGACTGGTTTATAAATTTTTTTAAACTCAATCAATTCAAATTAGTTTCTCCAGTTAAAGCTATGTAGATCTACTCTAATATCTGATCAGATAATCTATACTTTTTCCCATCTGGGAAGAAGAAAATATGTTCATATAACCTCCAGTAATTCATAATAAACATCCACAAATACTCCTTTGCCTTAGGTACATTGTATGGTTATAGTTTTTTTTTTTTCCTTCCCTGCCACCATCAGAGGTATTGGCATTCATCAGCTCTCTCAAATGTCCCTGCCAACACAGGCTTCGTCATAGGCTCAGAATTAGACTCTTAAACCATGCTTTGTGAGCTCCCACTAGGACTACTTTAATGACTATATTTCTTTTGATTTGTCAAGTTTTAAATTTTCTTAAGTACTAAATTATCTCCACACATTCAGATTACAACCTTTTTCAAATATGTTGAACTACCTTTTCTTATTTAAATAATTTTTTTTCTTTTCACATTTTAAGTGCTTTGCCATCCCACATTCTTTCAGGCATAGATGGTTGACTTAATGTTATATAATCTTGGGAAGTCCATTTATATCAAATTAACACAGGAAATGGGCACAATGTCACTTATCTTACCAAAAGCTTATGGGGAGAATCCAAAAGGAAAAAGAGTGGGAAAGTCCTTTGAAATATAAATGATAGTGTGATTTCTGTTTCATTACACCTTACAATATTAGTATTCTTCATAGCTTGGTACTATGAATGGGCAGACTTTCAAAATAACGTGAAATGACTCTTCTCAATTTAAAGCCTTCAGCAACATATAAAATATTTCATGTTATCATCAAAGTTACAAATAGTAACTTTGATAATTATAGTTAAAATAATATTTGAGATCTTATTCATTGATAAATATACATTTTACCTTTTTTCCAATCTGCACTCCTGGGGTATCTGCTTCCACAATAAATCCAGTAAAAGCTTTATTAGCAGGAGCTTTCGGATCTGGATCAGAACGTGCCAATAAAAAATACCTAAAATAAATACACACATTAATAGTGATAATGATATTAATTAATAACACATGGTGAATGTTATCTCAATCCTCCAAACAATCCCAATTATTATTACTCACAGCTTATCACAGAAAATGAAGAATCAGATGGGTTACAAAACCTGCACAAGTTACATTTCTACTATGTGGCAGAATTAGCATTTCAACCCAGGTCTACTTCTTGACTTATACAGTATTTAATTTTTTTGTAGTATAAGTTAAAATTCCTTGTATAAGATAATGTAATATGAAAAAGAAAAGTATATATAGGGTGGAGTTGGCATTTTTTCCCTCCTGCAAATCAATTTTTGTTTTTTGCAGTATTAAAGATTAAACCCAGAGGCACTCAACCAATGAACTACATTGCCAGTACTTCTGTGTGTTTTGTGTTTTTATTTTGGTAATGGGGACTGAACCCAGGGGCACTTAATCACTGAAATACATCCCAGCCCTTTTTATTTTGAGACATGGTCTTGCTAAATTGCTATGGCCTCACTAAATTGCTGAGGCTAGCTTTGAACTTGCAATCTTCCTACCTCAGGCTCCTGAGTCTCTTAAGAATACAGGCATGTGCCATCACACCCAAACTGTAAATCAATTTTATTCTTTAAGGGACAAGCTCTCAGAGAAAAGGAGGGCAAAGAGGGTTGCCTATGAAAAGGAATAATAATCTTGACTATTATGTTCTATGTTCTGACAACTACTGTCCCCGCCCCCCAGCCCCACCCTTTTTTTTTGGTACCTGGGATTGAAGTCAGGGACACTCAACCACTGAGCCACATCCCCAGCCCTATTTTGTATTTTATTTAGAGACAAGGTCTTACTGAGTTGCTTAGTGCCTTACCATTGCTGAAACTGGCTTTGAACATGTGCTCCTCCTGCCTCAGCCTCCTGAGCTGCTGGGATTATAGGTGTATGCCACTGTGCATGGCACTACTGTCACTTTTATGCAGCAAAGTTAGTGTATTTGTTATAGTTGAATTATGAATATTGCTGGTTCCTACCTCCAGGATTTTGCCCAGAAAGATTTTTAAATAAAGAATGAGGGGGGAAATGCAAAATATTCAAAAAGTTGCATATACAGAATTTTACTAAAAATGTTTTAAAAAGAATCAGGTATGGTGGTGCACACCTATAATCCTAGCAACCCTAGAGGCTGAGGCAGGAGGACTGCAAGTTTGTGGAAGCTGCAGCAATTTAGCAGACCCTGTCTCAAAAGGAAGAAAATAATAAAATGGGAAAAAAAGGCCAGGGGATAGTTTAGTGGTTGACTGCATGGTTGGCATGTGGAAGACCCTGGGTTCAATCCCAGGCAGCATCAAAAAAAAAAGGGGGGGGGACATATTCCTCCTTAAATAACAAATTTATTTCCTGTGCTTTGAACTAATAAACTATCTTGACTCTATGGTTTTATTTAATTATAGAAAAAAATTGAAAATTGCTTTTTTAGTTTTTGTAGTACCTAATTTGTATGTGAAGACCTCTAGTTCTTGACATTGGATATTTCAAATTGTGTTGTTAGATTTCTCAACTTATTAAATTTTAATACTTACTTTTTAATTTTTGGTACCAGGAATTGAACCCAAGAGTACCTAAGCATGGAATCACATCCCCAGCCCGCTTTTTGTTTTTAGGACAGGATCTTGCTAAATTGCCGAAGCTGGCTCTCAACTTGCAATCCTCCTGCCTCAGCCTCCTGAGTTGCTGGGATTACAGGCATTCGCTACTACACCAACTAATAGTTACTTTTTTATGACTTGCTGATATTGGGATGCTTAATGATAATGTTATAGCACTTTATCACAATGGATATATTTAGGATACTAAAAGGGACTGACATATATTTAAAATAAACAATAACTTCATTCCCAAGAATGATTATTTTTATTTATTTATTTTGAGAAGTGCTGGGGATTGAACTCAAGGTCTTATGTATGCTAAGCACGTGCTTTACCACCACTGAGCTTCAGATTCTTTACTTGCTAGAAATTCTTTACTTGCTAGAAACTTGTACTACATATCACACAAATACATTGAATCAGAATTATTTTCAGGTAGTAGTTTCAGATAGATAGCAGTCAGTCAGTACATTATCACAATCACTAAATTCTTTTTTTTTTTTTCTTTTTGGTACTGGGGATTGAATCAAGAGGTGCTTTACTCTTGAGCCATATCCTCAATCCTTTTTATTTTTGAGACAGAGTCTCACTAAGTTGTTGAGGATCTTGCTAAGTTGCTGGGGCTGGCTTCCAACATGCAATCCTCCTGCCTCAGTCTTCTGAATCATTGAGATTATAAGTATATTCTGTCACACTCTGCCCACTAAATTCTTTCAAAGAATTCCCTATTTATATACTTGCAGTGATGGGCAAATATATACCAAACACATATTGGACAGCATTGTTGAAAAGCTTGTTCTTATATTGAGTAAATTCTACATTTTTCTGATTTTCACTCATTAATTCTTTTTTGTTTGAGTTTTGCAGTGCTGGGAGCTGAACCCAGGGGTATTCTGCTACTGAGCTACATCCCTACTCCTTTCTATTTTTTGTTTTGAGTCATGATATCACTAAGTTGTCCAGTCTGGCTTCAAACTTGTGATCTTCCTGTCTCAACCTCCTGAGAGGTTGGGATTATAGGCATGTACCACCACATATGGCTCATCCATTAATTCTAAACTGGCTCTCTAAAGTAAACTTACAAGCCTACTAGTCTTTCTATATATTATTTCAAAAATTTCAAGATTATTCAAAAATAACTAAACCTACGTGATTTACTTTTTACAACATGTCTTATAGCTTCCTCCTAATACAAGGCACTTACCTGCTTCTGAATATATGTCTTAAAATGTGTTACCTATAACTTTCTTTTTTAACTCTTGTTTGGCTATATCTCTATTACTTCAGCTTAGCTCCCCCTCTACCCTTGGTGCTAGGGAAGGAACTCAGGGCTGTACACATGCTAGGCAAGTGCTCTAACCACTGAGTATACCCCCAGCCATATATTTGTTTTGTAAAGGTTGATATATTGTTTAATCCCATTAAATTTATAGTTATTTATTAGACTTTACTTTCTTTTTTTTTAACAAATAACCAAGTATTTTTTAACACTTTATATTTAAACAAAGGACGTTTTAATCTTTGGTTTACCTTCATTTCATTATTTTTAGACCTATATAAGTATATGTGTATGTTTGTATATACACATATATGTGTATAAATATACATATAAATTTTTTTAATTTAAATTTTTTTTTGCTAGTACTGGGAATTGAACCCAGGGCCTTGTACATATTAAGCAAATAGTCTATCACTAAGCTACATCCCCAAACTCCTTCTAAATATTATTAAAGTCAAATTCTGAATTCTCTAAGTCTCTCCCTATTTATGAGATCAGAGAAATGTTCTATACCAATAATTGTCCTATTCCCTTATACTTTTAGAGGTTCCAAGAAAGTGCTGGTATAGGAGATGGGTAAGTGGAGATAATAAGTCAAACAGATGGAAGACTAGCCTTTGTAATCAAATTTAACCAGAGTAGGTATTTTATTTTACAAATTAAACTTCTTAATCTGAAACAAGCAGTTCAGGGGCTTCAAAATAGTTCTTTTTTAAAAATGTTTATTCTTAAGCTTTATGTGGATACAATATGTTTATTTTACATTTATGTAGTGCTGAGGATCGAACCCAGTGTCTTGTGCATGCTAGGCGAGCACTCTACCACTAAGCCACAACCCCAGCCCCAAAATAGTTCTTGAATCATGGAACTGCTTATAATCTCTTATGGACCTTCTAGTTCATGAACATGATTTACTTTAATTATAGTGGTTTAAAAATAAGAGAAAAATTGGGTGTGGTGGTGCATTCCTATAATCCCAGCTACTCAGAAGTCTAAGGCAAGTTCACAAGTTCAAGGCCAGCCTGGGAAACTTACCAAGTCTCTCTCAAAATAAAAAATAAAAAGGGCTGAGAATATAGCTCAGTGGCAAAGCACCACTAGGTTCAATCCTCAGTACCACTAAAAATTTTTTAAAATAAATAAATAAAAAGAGGAAGAAAGGGAAGATTCTGAATAAAAAGTCATTAAGAAGAAATATACAGAAATTTTTCAAAAAGCATACCAATTAGCTTTTCCTCCGTTGGTTATCCACATCTTCTGACCATTAATAATATACTCATTTCCTTTCTTTTCTGCTCTGGTCTTTATACCAGCTACATCAGAGCCTGCTCCTGGTTCTGTTACACAGTAAGCCTTGAATATGTGGAATAAAAGAAAAAATTAAAGGCTAAGTACTAAGTTATAAATGTATAGAAACAGAATTTTGTTTTGTCTTGTTTCTGCAATTTGGGGGACTGAATCCAGGGTCTTGCACATGATGGGCAAACACTCTACTATTGAGCTATATCTCCACAGTCCCCATATTTTCTTTTAAAGCCAGTAAGTAGTTCAATTATTTTTAAAATATCAAAAATTAAAACATTTTTAGAAAATCAAATAAATGTCTCAAATGTAAAAATTTATTTAATGTATAAATTAAAATTGGGTGTAGGACACTAATAAATAATACAAAAAATTAAAATGCTAGGTATCTTCAAACAAATTCATTTAATTCAATTCAATATATATTCATTTCCTGGAACATTTGAGTATACTAGACTATAAAGTAGGAGATGGGAAACTGGAAATGAAATCTTGTCCTAGAAAGTTTTATAATGTAACAGTAAAGATAAATAACCTTATTGTTACTATATGTCTAAATGTAAAAATTATGCACAAAGAAGTTGAAAAACTATCTTACTAGAAATGATGCTTAAATTAAGTCTCAAATGGAAAAGCAATTCTTTGGGAGGAGAAATAAGAATTGTTACCATGTAATCTTGGTATAGATGTTTTCTAGGCAGCAATACAGAATATGACACCAAGAAAAGAAATAGGGTTATCTAGTATTTGAAATGCTGGAAGTACTGGACTTCTATAATATGTGAATATATTATATTATATACTGTGCATGCAAGGAATGATAAGATATGAGTCTGGATAAAAGGAACAAAACAGATGACAAAGAACCCATTATATCAAACTAAAAATTTTAAATTGTATCTACTAGAAACAGGATGGCTTCTTAAGGCTCTTCCACAGAGGAATGACAATAGACAGCCAGTAATGGATAAAGGGAATCTAGGGAGGCAAGAGTTAACTAGTTCAAGTTAATTTGAGTTTATTGAGCAAAAGGTACAGTGGATATATACCATCTAAAGACACAGGTTCATTGCTCTTAAGTTACTTAAGAGTCTAAAGAAGAAAGAAATCTTAATTTAAAATCAAAGTATAAAATAATTACTTAACTTGTTACAGGAGGGTTGGGAGATGATGGGAGGTATGGAGGTTGAAAAGAAGTAAAACTTTTTGGAAAAGGTAAGTTTTAAATAACAAGAGTGAGGTAAATAGATCTAAGGCTCCAGAAGAATGAAGGAGCAAATGTGTAGAGGAAACTACCAACAGTTCAGTACTAAAATGTAAGGAGAAACTTAAAGGCATAAAAAGAGGCTGGTGAAGCAGGCAAGGAAGAGCTCATGGAGGCCAAATGATATGTCACACTGAGGAGAAAATATTTTTATGCATTCAACAGAATAGTTAAATGACTGCTTACTATTATGCCATGGAATCTTAAGGAATCAAATAGATAGGCTCCAACAGAATAGATAACACCCTAGTGTGCAAAAGTGAATAGTGCATACATTTTTTTTTTAGAGGAAGTCAGATTTGGAAATGGATTCACAAATTTAAACATACCTTAAGTTCTAGTGCAATTGATAATATAGAACCACTGAATGCCTTTGTAAACACATTTGCAAACATATTTGGATGTGCTTTTAAGTTTACTATTACGAAAGTTTGAAGGATGGATTTAAAGAGGAATTATAATAACAGCAAGAATCATCTTTCAGGTGCTGTTTGAATAAAAACCATACTTGGGGCTGGGGATGTGGCTCAAGCGATAGTGCGCTCGCCTAGCATGCACGGGGCGCTGGGTTCGATCCTCAGCACCACATAAAAATAAAATAAAAAGATGTTGTGTCCACCGAAAACTAAAAAATAAATATAAAAAATTCTCTCTCTCTCTCTTTAAAAAAAAAAACCCACAAACAAACCATACTCAAATATCAAAAGGGCTCTACATCTAAGGGAGATAATTTGAACTAGTGGAAGGAAACTATAATGACGTTATTAAGTATTTATTGGATACCTATAATGATATTATAGTAAAATTTCATAAACAGAAATGATAAAAACTGTCACTTGGTACATGTAATGTTGGTTAGAGATGCTCCCAAAGGGAGCTACTTCAAAAAGCCTCGACTCCAGGCACTCAAGGTATGAAAACATGAGCATAATGGCTTTTGGACAGGAATGCAGTAGAACAAACTCACTTGTCACAGAGGTTAAGTGAACTAGATTACTCTATTTGAAGATTCAATAAAGTGTTCAGCATCATTAACAAAATAAGGTTTTATACAAATGAACTGACCAGAAAAGATGATCCTCTGAAGTACCAAAATTTTGTGTTAACCATCTTTAATAATTTTAAAAAATATACTACTAGACATGTTTCTTCTTAATAAGGCAAAATTTTTAGAGCTTATAAAATATATGGGTCTATCTTTGAATACAAAATAGCTTGTCACTGCTGGTTCTTTGGAATTGTTTTTTAATCTTATTTGACCATTGTTTAGTAATTAATTTACTTTTTCTAACCCTCTTTTAGAAGAAGAATCCCTTTTTTTTTTCATTGTAACTTATTCCCTTCTTTACCTCACTATTTGGTATGATACAGCATTATACACAAAAATGTGGTTGCTCATATTGTTTTTCTTATTCTACATCACAATCTCTTGAAGATAGGATTGATAATACTGTTTAATAAATGATGTCCCTAAAATTTTTCATCTTCATTATTCTAACTAGTTTGATTTCCAACATTAGATGTGAATTTGCAAACTAGAAGATCAAGGAAATCAAATCAGTACATTGTTTTGTTCATAATTAGTAAGTAGACACTGTATAAAGATATAAGTTTATCAGATTCCTAACTCCTTATAAGGAGAAGCCCTGTCTTCTTTACATTCTATTCTCAGTCTATCTGGCTTACGACTCAAATATTTGAATAAGTATAACATTATGCTTTTCTTTATTAATGATAATACCACCTCCTTACATTTATATAATTCACAAAGAAATATTGCATTTATTCTTTGTTTAAATTTTCTGGGTGGTATTAAAGCATTTTAAAGGAAATTAGATAGTTTATATATTTAAAAACAAAAAAAATTAGGGTGAAAGAAATAAAACTAGAAAGAAAAACAATACACAGCAACATGTTTTGAGGTTCAAATAATTACTAGAGTAAAAATTGGCTCAAGTTTTCCTACTTACCAAAAGAGAGAAAACAGTATTAGTTATAAGTTTCAAGTATGCATTTCCATAAATGAAGTCTGGCATATATCATGAAAAGCAGTTATAAGAGAAGCAGTTCTCTTAGTCATTAGGTATGAAAGGCATTTCGCTAATATATTTTTGCAACACTCAGTGAAGATAGTCCTATAGAAACATAAGTTATCTTGTTTTTCTTTACTATATCCCTTTAAAGCATTATACACTCAATGTTTAGTAAAGACTTCAAGATTAAGTGAATATACAAGATTATCCTGTTGTTATATGACGAGTTAAGACCTGAAGCCCAGTCTTTAGAATCCAAGTTTAGATCTGTTAGGCACATTCCAGCAATTTTTTAGTTCCATGAAAAATACAAGGTTTTACGACAAGAGTTTTATTTACCAGGGGGTGTTTTACACTTCTGGATTCTAAGACTATGTTTAGACAAATGAGTTTTACTGAATGTCCCCATAACAAGCTATTGAACAGTTTACACTTGATCTTAGCCAAAGGTTAAGAAGTAATAAATTATCTAGTGCTACATATATTTTAGGTATATACTGCTTAAAAAATAAAATATGGCTCTTAATTCTTAGAATATCATATATATAATATTAACTAATAATTCTGACTTTACAAAATGTTTTTGCAGTAAATGGCATTAAAAGTTATGGTTTTGCCCTTATTTATCTCCTCAGGTAGGGCATATGTGACTATAAGATCAGTTAAGTTATAAATAAATAATAATAAATATATCTGTTCTGTAAAGTTAAATATAAAGATCTGTGTTAATTTTTATGTATCAATTATTCCATGGCATTTTTTAAGAGCAAAAATCTAAGAAGTTTCAATATTAAACAGTGTAGAATAGTAATGTGTAGTGTATACATTAAAGACCATATTGCAGTAATAAATACCAAAGCATTTAAAAATAAGTAGAGCATAAGAAAGTGCTCATGATATTAAATAAAGATATAAAATTGCATATCTAATATGATGTTATAATATAGAAAAATATTTATATATTTAAAAATCTAGTAGGAAATATAAAATAGCAATCCCAATTAGCTTCATATCTGAAGAATTACAGATATTTTTGTTCTTCTTGATACATTTCTAAGTTTTCTCTACTATTTACAATTTTAAAAAATGTATTAAAATTTAAATAATGAACTGAATCAATTTAAGTTAATCAAAACTTATTGATACTTTCTATTTTTACCCTCAGCTTCATATTTTAAGTACAACTACTGCTATTTAGCACTAGAATGAGAAAAATGCACAGAAAATCTTCATTAATTTAGAAGTTATCAAAAGAGGGAATAGTAAATGTATTTTTACATATATTGAAGGTATTATTTAAAAAAGTTTGAATATTTGGGTTATATTTAAAGACTCAAATATTTTAGAAATACCTATTTATAACTAGTATAAATATTCTTATCAATGTATTATGGTAGGTTCACTTAAGCATTTCTATGCTTCAATTGATTAACCTGTGTCTATCAATATATATGCTACAAGAGGAGAATCTAGATATTTTATGCAGTTTTTAGACAATATTGAGAATATTTACACTAAACTCTATAATTTCCAATTACCTCATAAATATGTATGAATGTCTTTATAAGTAGTTTGCCTGACTTTTAAGTATCTGCAATGAATAAAATAATTTATTTTAAAATATTGCTTTCTACTCTTTCAGATGAATTCTCTCAATTAGTTTAAAATTCATAATAATCTACTATATTTCACTATTATAAACACACCCTAGATGGATATTTGGCTAATCAACAGGTAAAAATCCTTCAATAAAGAACAATTTCAAAACAGAACCTTGTATATATGTATGTGCGTTGTTGCTGTTTTTTTTTTTTAATTCATTTTAAAAATTTGTTGAATTGCTTTCAAATAAAATGACAAATATACTCCCCAAGTCAACTGGCCATTCAAAAAATAAGTTAATCACTTCAGTCACAGGTTTATATTAGTTTCTCACTAATTCAAACATCTACTGTTATACATTCAATCTGAACTTCCTCAGAAGTGGTTCTTCAGAAGAACCACTTAGTTCTTGAACTGCAGAATTAAGTAGATAGTGCTCCATTAAATAGATACTGTTCTCCTGAAAACATTATTTAGTAGATATTTCTCCTGTAGAAATAAGAAAGGGGATTATTATGACACTTTATTGGCATCTTAGAACATCACTCTACCTAAATATATTGACTACTTTTATCTTAATGTCATATAGAATAGTATATACATATAGATTCAAAACTCTTTGTAAATGTGAAATGTAAAATAAAGTAGTAGCTATACATACTCACACACATCATTGGCTCCTCAGTCATCCTCCCCAAATACTTCTTTTTTTGTTGATCATTTCCAGCAATAATAATAGGCATTTGCTAATGAAGAAAACAGACATTAAAAAGCAAGACATTTTTATTAAATATGTAAATTCAGAGATATTACAATTCAAAACAAGAAAAGAACTATTTCCTCCACAAGAGGTAAGTTCACAGAACTGGTTTTCATTCTGCCTTCAAGTTAAAAAGCTAAAGCAATGAAGTAATACATCTGCTACTGTCAGTATTTTCATATAAGTTATTTGTACAACTTATTACTTTAGTAAAATGCTCTAATAAAGGATTAAATTTAGAATGCATGACTTAGTACACATGATCTGGCCTCCTAAGAACTGCTCACTAAATTTCAGCAGTGCCAATAGTGGCAGCAAGCCAACCTGATTGGTTCCTGAAGGCTGGCTCTAGGCCTTGCCCTTACTTAAGAATTCCCACTATAGCTGTAGCCAAAAGTATACATTTTCCCCACAAGGACAACTAGGACTCCAAGTACTAGAGGCAAAAGACCAGAGCAAGGAAGCCTTAGAATCATACCCTGGGCTTCACTGCTGAAACTTGTGTTTCTTCTTGAAAAAACAAAACACAAAACTATTTTAATATTAATCTAACTTAGCTGTTAACTGTCTCATTAACAGCTCAGTTAGCAATTAATTTTTTAAGTAACTTACCCCCAAAGAGTTTGCTTCAATAGCAGTCTGAACCCCTGTGCATCCGTAAGCCAATTCTTCAGTTATTAAACAAGCATCAAAAGTTCCAAGTCCAAGTCCTCCTACGGCATCAAAATGTTTTAAGAGCCCATTCTGATGTGTAATGCATCTCAACAAAACTGTAGGTGAACTATTTTAACTTACTTCAATTTGGCTTAATTTTTATTTTTTTAATTCACATTTTAAAAAACATTAATTACATTTTCTCCAGTTTCCTATATTAATGGTATTCTGAATTCTTTTTTTACCCCCACATTTTTTATTGGTGCATTACAGTTGTACATAATGATAGGATTTGTTGTTACATGTTTGTACATGCACACAATATAATATATTTTGGCCATTGTCACTCCCCTGCACTTCTCCCCTCCCTCCCCACATCCAGTAGTTTCTTTCCTCCACTAATCTTCCTTTGATTTTAATGAGATTTCCCTCCCCTCATGGCCTAATTTTGTTTTAAAAGCAAATATACAAATATAATATCTGTAAATGTTTGGGCTGGCAATAATAACAAGCCATACTTTTAATTCCATACTTTTCTAAAATAAATTTTAAATACTTCAAAAATTCTCTATTTGTAATCTGGATCTACATTTCTGTTTAAACTTGATTTTGTAAAAACTCACTTTAACTCTGCAAAAACTCTGACCCACTGATCTGTTGAAAAGAGTAATGTTCTGGAGGCTGGGGATGTGGTTCAATGGTAGAGCACTTGCCTCGCTAACACAAGGCCCTGGGTTCAATCCCTAGCACCGACCAAAAAAAAAAAAAAAAAAGAGTAATGATCTCACATACAAAAAAAAGTCTCAATGAAATCTAAAATGCAAGGTAGGATTAAAACGCATGAAATTCTTGGGAAAAATAAAAAAACAAAATGCAACAAACTAACCAACTCTAGAACTTTAGAGAAATACCAAAGTTCAGGATCAATTAGAGGGAAAAAAATGCCTGTGTTTTGCACAAGGCTTTTAAAAGCAGACAAATACTGTAGTCTGAACCAGAAAACAAAGGCAAAAAGTCACTTAATGTCAACAAATATTTAAAACAATGGGTAGACTTTCATAATTTTTCTTGTTCAAGTGTATTCTGGGACTAAAAATGTGAAGAAAGCTTACCACAACTCTCGGGAATGTGTGTATTGATTAAACCAAGTTCCCAGGCTCTTTTAATTAGGGGGAAAGGGTACTAAAAGAAAAAAAAAAAAACCTCAGTTATAATACATTTAAAACTTTCCTAATCTGATTATATAATCTTGTAAAAAATGTAAAAATTTTTTCTCCCTAATATTTGTATACCTACTTCACCAGTTTTATCATATTCTGCAGCAACCGGGATTATTTCCTCCCTGGCAAATTTACGAGCAGTAGCTTGAAATTCTTTCTGTTGTTCAGTGAACTCTAAGAGAAAGATATTTAGAAAACATTAAAATGGGACAATGAGTTGAGGAAAAAAGCCTTATAAAATTGGTATGTGGAAATTTATATATATAATGGGGAAGGTAATTTTTGATTAGCCACAAAGACAAAAACTATATTTTCTGACTAATCAAATTCACTGTACAGTATAAACAAGTCTATGTCAATACAAATGCTGAAGGAAATAAGATTTCTCGTTTCTACAAGTAAATAACAGATATAAATCTGTAGAGCTCAAGGGTTTTTCTTATCTGATTGGTGAGATAAGAAATTTCTTATTTCCAATACATAATAAGACTTATCAAGTATTTCCTAATATTGGAGTGAAACTAATTTACCTGATATCAAGAATAAGTCTAAGGCATTGAAACATTTTCCATGAACATAAAACAACAAAATTTGTTTCAAAGAATTATATAAAATAATTTAAACAAATTTTAAGTGTAAAAATTAGCACAAAGAAACCAGTAAAAGTGATGGGATATTTTCTCAGAAGATAGTAGTAACATAAACTCCTGCTGTATTGCTAGTAAGTGGTGTCCAACAATTCATTTATATAAAAATGTCATTAGAAAATGAATGAAATGAAAATAGTGGCTGGACTGAGGATAAGAGTCAACCAACCACTAGCTGGGTGCAGTGGCAAATCCCTGTAATCCCAACAACTTGGGAGGCTGAGGCAGGAGAATCACGAGTTCAAAGCCAGCCTCAGCAACTTAGATTAGGCCCTCAGCAACTCAAGGAGACCCTGTCTCCAAAAATATATATCATATATATATACGGACTGGGGATGTGGCTCAGTGGTTAAGTGCCCCTGGGATCAATCCCTGGGTACAAAAAAAAAAGAGTCAACCACTAACTATATTTTTACAAATCTATGTTATCTAGTGTCTTAAGGTAGTTGCATCCAACATCAAAACATAGATTATTTACAAGAAACATAGGGTATTTTAGGCAAGAAAAATGAGAAAAACACAGAAGAACGAACAAGAATGTTTTAAGACTCTAGTAATCACTTGTCTGGAAACATGGGGGAGAAAATGTAAGATAACAGAATTTTGGTACTGAATTGAAGAATGTAAGATGCAATCTCTCATTTTATAGACAAGGAAATTAAAGCACTGAGGCAACAAATGATTAGACCCATAGTCTTATAATGAATTAGCAGAAGTGGTTCAAGTCAGGGTTTTTACATCTTAACTTCTTTTCTAGGAGTGGTCAGTCCATATCAAGGTTGTAGGTAGGTAAAGGTAGACAAGACAGGGATCTATCATGTATTATTTATTGAGAAACTACTTTGATCCAGTCATTCACTATATGTTAGGGACTTTATATACTGCATATAATTTAATCTTCAAAGAAATTCTTGGTAATATTCATTATCTCATTTTATAAAAAATCAGATCAACTGGTCATAGGTGTTATTCTATATTCTTTTCTTTGGCTTCATTATCTCCCTCCCAAATATTTGTAGCTATCTCATTCTCTGGCACTCCAAAACCCATCACAGCCTTCTGCTAGTTTCTTACTATAGTGATTATTACCAAATCAATGCTGATGTCTCAATAAGACCCATTGAATCAAACCACTATCCTCACACCACTTGAAAATTTTTCATTTCATTCTGGCAAAATATTTTATAATCAAGGGGGAAAAATTTTAAACAAAAGCAATAACCTTAAAGACTGTCAATTTCACCTCAGTGTGAGTTAATTATCTTAGGTGCCTTGTAATTATTTTTTGAGATTAAGTTAACTAAGAAAATGTTTGTTTGTTTTTTTAACTAGAGGAAAGGTAAAAACTTTGAAGCAAGAAGTTCTTTTAGGAGGCAAAGAATGCCAAAGGTAGGAATTATTATTACAATTTTTTTTTTGGCCTGGGGTTTTCCTTTCATAAAAGGGAAATAAAATCTATTCTTTTTCCCTCCAATATCACATTACTCCCATCTCCCGTATCTCACAATTTCATCTAATTGCACCAAAACTGCAATTCAGATTAAATGATGACCAAAATGGGCTTAGTTTATTATTAGACAGCTAGCATTATATATCTAATAAGTGTTTTAAGACTCATGAGTATTTGTTGAATTCAAATTTGTAAGTCAAGGACTATTCATAAATATCAGTAAATCTGCCGTTTATTTTTGGCTACATACTTAGAAAAAAGGAAAAGAATATTTGTATGTATGTTGCTAACACAAATCAAATGTATTTGTTTATTTATTTGGTACTAGGGATTTAACTCAGGGGTACTTTGCCCCAGAACTACATCCCCACCCCTTTTTTTGTTTTTATTTTGAGACTTGGTCTCATTAAATTTTCGAGGCTGACCTTGAACTTGTGATCCTCCTGTCTCACCCTCCCAAGCTCCTGGAATTACATTTGTGCACCACTGCCCCTGGCCATAGATCGAATGTATAGAATAATATGCTGAACAAAAAAATGTGTAAGGAAGAATGGGGGTAACTGACTTAATCATCTATGTATGAATGATGACTGGGTTCTACTCATTGACAAGACATTATCAAGTTTATAAACAGATTCCAGACAAGTCCATTTTAAAATCAAAAGACAGAACATAACACATACCAAAACTAAATCCTAATCCTGGTTCTCGTTTTTGATGAGCTTTTGTATGCTGTGATCTCCAGTCAAAATGAGAAATAATACTTCTCAGGACCTGTAAAAGATAATCTTATTAAAAATAAATTTGATAAATTACATATCAATCAAATAAGAGAATTCTGACCATTTTTATCAAAGGGTACAACAGTTTTTAAAGTCATTATTAAATGTCTTTAATTATAATTTAAATAAACCAATTATCAGCTACATGAGTATCTATTATAGAGAAAATTAATGCAAATAAAATTAATTAGTGATATTTGCACTACTGAAGTGGAGGATTTCCAGGACAGACAACAGGGATAAGACACTATTCTGGAAATTTCATCAATAAACTCCTAGGACATTGGTGAAGAGGAAGCTGATGAAGGGAGAATAGTAATATGGATTTGATAACCTGATAACCAGTCCCTGTGATCCTCCCAGGTATGCCTCTGGGAATCTTCCCATGGAGGATTCCATTTTCTAAGATGACTCACTCTATCTAACAAAATAAATCAGAATAAAACCATGTTCTATAATTAATTCTGTTGTCTATAGGCCTTCATACACGGTTCTAAGCCAGGAGCCAGCAAAATACAGCAGCTACCAGTTTTTTTGCTTGGTTAATTTTTTTTTTTTTTTTAAGCAGGGGTCAATACTAGGGATCAAACCCAGGGGTGCTTACCCACTAAGCAACATCTACAGAAATTTTTATTTTTTATTTTGAGACAGAGTCTGGCTAAGTTGCTTAGGGCCTCACTAAATTACTGAGGCTGACCTTGAATTTAGTAATCCTCCTACTTGGTATCTTCCAAAGTTGCGTGGATTACAGGCATGCACCACTGCTTCTGGCTGGTCACCAGTTTTTTAAGTAAAGCCCTATTGGAACATAGCCCCGCCATAACCTCTATTGCTACTTTCACAGTAAAGCTATATGATTGAAACAGACACCATAGGTCTACAAAGCCAAAGATAGTTACTATTTGTTCCTTTATAAAAGTTTGCCAGCTCTGTTCTAACTATTAATATACAACTTGTCTTAATATCTGAAATATACTCATATTTCTTCAAGGATATATTGAAAAAATACAATCAAGATACACAAATACTATTCCTTTGGAACCCATTTTTATATTCACTACAATTTAATGGACACAAAAGTAACCATTAGTATTAAAGTTATCAAACTGGAAACCATATAAGTGCTACTGAGTAAAGGTCTGAGTTCAGAGAAAACCTATAAATTGAAAGCAATTTATACTTTAAAGATTTTGATGGAACTATACCTACATAGTTTTAATAAGCTAGATACTGAGAGAAAAGAGAAGCTGTACAATACACTAAAGTTTCTAGAACCTAAGTTTTTCAAAATATGTAGAAAGAAACTGACCACTTTATAAAGGATCATTTCAACTGATAAGTGTCACCTGCATTTAAGCTGACAGTATGACTGCCAAATATAGTAATTTAAATAGCCTTTTCAAAATTAACATACCTCCAACTATGACTTTAAAAAAATACACCGTATGAAAACATTTTCTTTAAAATTTTTATTAACTTTGTTTTGGAAGTAAAACATGATTTCTTTTGTCCTCATTGTATAGTCTTCACAGACCAAACCTATTCTTTACAGTCACATTACACATATTAATTCACTGAATCTCAGGTCAAACCTAGAATTAAGGAACTGTTTTTTTTTTTTTTTTAATTATCATTTTGTATAGGAAGAAACTGAAGTTCATGAAGGTCAAGTAAAATTAGCCAAGATCACTCTACACTTAGGTAGTGGGATCAGAATTCTAATTCTCACATTTATTATTAAGAGTCCATGCTATTAACCATTTTGCTTTAGTTATACTGGTCTTTCAATTAATTTCCTATCTGATCATTAGAAAAACAAAGAAAAACACCCACAAAAATCAGACCAAATAACCTCATTCTACTATAATGTGTTTAAACATCATTGCACAAGAATCATTCTTCACAAAACAGGTAAAATGGTCTGCTGAGAGACATTAAGGAATTATTTGTGGACTTAATTTACAAGAAGTCAGTTTACATGGGTTTTCAAGAAGACTTGTTATATAAAATAAGTGCAAAGGTTTCTACAGCCAAGAACACCACCCCCTAACCTATTAATTACATAACAATGTTAAACATTTATTTAGAGAAATGGTCTAGTAGAAAAAAGAAACAGTTCAAGATTTCAAGTTAGAATTGCTGAATTTGAATCTAGATAGCACGACTATCTTTGTGACCTTGGACAGGTTACAAACTTCTTGTACCTTCTATTCATACCAGAAAACTGGGGGTTAATCTCACTGGATAATTTGGGGGTGATTTAAATAATATAATGTTTTGAAAGCCTCATGTCATAAAATATTGGTTTTATTGCTTAGGGCTGTCTGCAGAGAACAATGGTATTCCAAATAGGCAAAAGATAGCAACTTCAATTATCCATTTTGCAATTAAAGCACCACTACAATTAAATATTTCCAGACATTTCTTAGAAATATAAGGGGCTGGGGTTATGGTTCAGCGGTGGGCGCTCCTCTGGCACAGGTGAGACCCTGGGTTTGATCCTCAGCACCACATAAAAATAAATAAGTGAAATAAAGATATTGTGTCCAAGTACAACTAAAAAATAAATATATATTAAAAAAAAGAAATATGAAGTGTCTTAGTTTTATGGGGATGCCAAAAAAGAGATAAAGGAATATACATTTTATAATTTTTTTTTTCTGTTTTTCTAGATCCTTTCTTGGGAGAGATTGAGATATCTTTTTTCTGATGTCAGAGTTAAAAGTAATTCTTAAAATACTCCAACTTCTGCCTTTAGAGCCCAATAACTTGTATAGACAACAACGGCAAAAATTGGGCAATGATTCAATAGGATCATTGTAAATTCTAAAACTGGAGGGGCTTTTTCTGTTTGTTTGTTTTTTTTTTTTTTTTCGTCAAAGACAGCTTTAAGCAACATTTAAATGGCAGTCTTGCAATGAATATTATTAATAATATTTACGAAACTAAAACGCATCTAGCAACTGAAACATATTTAGAATCTATAAGACACGATGCTAGAATAGTTAAGCTTCAAGGAAAGTTCTATGGTAGGTTTTTTTCTTTGACTTTTTCTTTAACGTATGCAACTTGGAAAGGCATCCCTCCAGATTACAAAACTACCGACATATTACATATTTAGTGACTTGAGCAACTACTCCATTTTCCTTTTCCAATGATTTTGTAGATACCCAAGATAAGACTACTCGTATTCTAACACCTTCTAGTATATATAATTGCAGAACGACGTGTATTTGATGAGTTCCTTCCTGGGCTGGGGGCATGGGCGGATTTGGAAAGTTTTCTCGAAGAGACATTACACTAGATCTGCAAAAAGCAGAGCAAAAGTGAACTCTGTTCACTTTGGGAAAAGGGTGGGATTCCTAGTTAGAATTATCTGGAGGGCTCCCGCGCTGAAGAAAGAGTCCGAAGGCAGAACGGCCTCATTAGGGTCTAGGAGGTTAAGCGACAGTGAAAACCCATAATGCTTTCCCGTCTGGCTGGGAGAGGAGTGGCAGGCCTGCAGGCACCGAAACCGCGGAGGCGTCCAAGCTTCGGGTAAGCAGGCCTGGCGCTAAGAAGCGGTCCTGTCATAGCTTGGCTTCCTACCCCTGTGATCCGCATCTGTTCTCGGCCCCCTTTCGAAACACGACGCCATCCATTCCCGCGCCCCACCACTACCCTGGTCTCCCTCTCACCCCGCAGCTTCTCCTAAACGCTGCGGCCATGTTGACTCGCGTTGTGGACCCTCGGACTCGAGCCGCCCGGCCGCCACTCAGAGTCTGTCAGACTCCAGGCACGCGCTGGGCCTATCTGGCCCCGCCCACCCGCGAGGGGGCGTGGCCGGGGGCAGGTCGCGGCGGAGAAACGCAGGGCAGGGCTCTGAGAGAGTGGAGGGCACGGAAGGGTGGAGCTTGGCGACCGTCGCTAGAGCTGGTCCTGCGACCTCGGCAGAGGGTTGGCCCTCGCTCTCACGTGGTCACCAGGAACGCAGCACTGCTGTTTGGTGCTTTGAGTTTTCTAATGTTGCGTCTTCTGGGGAGGACGCCAGGGCAGACCGCAGGGTGCCGAGGGAGCCGGGGGGCGGGGCGCTGGACGCTGGGCTGGACCAGAATCCAGGCCAGAGATCGCCCGGGGGTTCTGAAGAAGAGCTCTCCCGGTGGTGGACGGTGACCTTTATCTGGAAAGACCTGTCAGACTGAAGTGTTCCTAAGCTTCAAAGTACACCTCACTCACAAAGGCTGGACCAAAGCGAAAGGTTTTCTGTGTTTGGCAAACTCTAAACAGTGGAAATTAATTGCTTGGATAAATTCGACCTTTCTGAATATTTCCAAAGCGATTTTCTTTTTTTTTTAAATCATTATTTTTAATGCCTTTGTTTGTATTTATTTATTTTTATGTGAACCCAGGGCTTCACATGAGCTAGGCGAGCGCTCTACCGCTGAGCTACAACCCCAGCCCCTCCAAAACGATTTTCTACCCACTTATGAAAGAGTGTCCTTGGAAATGAGGGTGCAAGAGGAGCCTGTCTAAAGCTTATGGCTCAGCTGATGGATGTTGAAAGTAAATGTCTTTCTGAAGAATCCTACGTGAAGTTCACTTTGTCCTCCACTGGTACCCCGCGTCTGAAACGGTAGCTAGAATGTCATAAAGCCAGGGGACTGTAAAGCTGGGTTTGGATACCTCTAAAAAGCTAACAGAAGCCCAAATGAAAGCCAGGACTGTAAATGTTTCAACTATTCCCCAGGATTTTTAAATGCTTTCATTCTAATTTAGGCTTTTCTCACCTTGCCTGTAAATCTTGTTACTAATTTGCTAAGCATTCTCTTTTGTCTACTAAAAGCCACCATATTAGGATGAGCAAAAAGTCTTTCTAAGCCAAGCGTGGTGGTGTCTATAATTCCAGCCACTTAGAGGCTGAGGCAGGAGGATCAGAAATTCGGGCTGTCCTCAGCAACTTAGACTCTGTCTCATAATAAAGAAGACTGAAGATGTAGCTTAGTGGTAGAGAGTGCCTGAGTTCAATTCCCCAAATCACCCCTATCCCTTCAAAAAAGACTTTATAGGGATTAAACACAAAATGTACTCATAAAGATGTGTAGGAATTTGCGATGCACAGTTATTTTTCCAATTTCTTATTAAAAAATTTTTAATCTCAGAAAAGATGAACAAAAAAGTACAAAATCATCTGTATACCCATCACCTAGATTCAAATATATTACCATATTTATTTTATTTTTCACATTTGTGGATTTTTTAAAAATCAGAACTCTTAAGTTTTACACAAAACACTCCACCTGTAAAAATACTTTAGTTATTAGCTCCTATAGGTTGTTTTTTGTTATGGTCTATAAACAAGTCAAGATGGTGCCTGGCATTTTGCCAGAGGGAGTGGTTTGTGAAGTAAAGCCAGGGAGCCATTAAGTGTGGAGATTCCTTATTGGTTGACTGCTGTATCTAGTTTATGTTAATTAAGATAAGCTGTGTGGAATGTATATATACCCCTCCTGTCCTACAATAAAGGGCTCACACTCCTACAATGTACACAAGTTGCTTGTCACCCCCCCACCCCACCCCCCCTTATTTTGCTGCAGCGGGACTGGCAGTTTTTCTGTGAAGATCCTTATCACTGCTATGAAAATAATTGTTCTCGACATTTGTATTTGTTTTGAATCATGATCCTATGAATGATTGCACATTGCAATTAGATTTTAACTTTCTTTGGTCTTTTTAAATCTAAAAAATTTAATTTAATCAATTTCCTCTTAATAATACTAATTTTTTTTCATTGAGAACAAGCCAGGTGTCCTGAACAATGCCCTAATTTTGAGTTGTCTGTATTTTTTTTTTGCCTCTAAATCTTGTGTTTCCTTTAAACCGCAAGTTACTAGAGGCTTGAGTGCTTCAGATTAAACATATTTGGAAACGATATTTCATAAATCATACTGTGCAATTCATATATTGCATCACTATTAGGGTCATTTAATGTCAGTTTTTTTCCACTGTTGATAATAAGTTTCATCCTTGTATTAAAGTAGTGACACAGTTATTACTGTGGTAAAGGTTTATTTTTTTTCCCTTTGCAAGCAAAATAACCTATAAGGTGACATTTGACATCATGCCAAACAATCTTTCTTTTAAATTTTTCCCAGTGGTAGAGATTAAATCATCTCTCAGTAAATACCATATCAATAATTGGGCACTGTTCCATAAAACTTTTATTACCTTTTTAGGTGAAATAATTAAAACATCCTAGTGTTCTTTTCTTACTTGCCATCTCTACCTAACCCATGGGAATAAATAACATGCCACCTGTAGTTCTTTAGTTTAGCCTTCTTACCTTGGTGTCTCTGAATAAACTTAAGGTGGAACTGAGATGACTTTGGAGTTAAATGCACTATTTTATATGTATGCATAAATTCCTGAGAAGATTCTCACAATGGTAGGAAAGTAAGAGTTTGGTAGGTATGATGAAGGAAGTACTTGAAAGTTTTCTTCTGATTTTGCCTAGGAAATATAATTATTAGCAGAGAATAAGGAAATACTGTAAATTTGGAGAAAGAGTATAAAATTTTGTGTTAAGTATGAACTATTTCCTATTCTCACTACTTTCGAAGTGAGGGTGTTAGAGGGTGAGGTTCAATACTTTGGCATGTCTGAGGTGTTTGAAAAGTTAATGGAATTAGAATATTGGTGAAAAAATGAGCTTAAAAGGCAGAGTGTAGTCATTAGGTAGAGAAGTGTAGTTACAATTAGACCACGTCTAGGTTATTATCATCGAGTTAGTAGTTGAAGTAGAGAACAAGATTATTGCAGGAAAGGAAGTCAGACAACAGAGGGGCCAGATTATTGGAAGGGTCATCATTATGGATATTAAAATAATGAAGAATGATGTCAGTAGTTTGAAGGAAAGTGACTATGAACTAAATGAAAAGGTCTTTATAGCATCCATATCTTTTTTTCTCTCTCAGATAAAAGGGAAAAATTGTAGAATTATAAAGCTGATGTATTTGATGGAAAACAGCAGCATTAGTCCTTTTGGTACCCTTCCCCCACCCCAGTCCTTTTACAAATAGTACTCTGTGTTCCCTAGCAATAGTTATAGAGTTATTATTTACTAAGCACATTATTATGCTTGGTAAATTATGTTCTTATAAAAATGGTTTCATAGAAAAGGAGTTGGTAGTCACACCGGCCAAGTCTCTGCTATTGCTTAAGGCCCTGTCAGCCTTGGCAATGAAAAATCAGGTTCACATTCAGTGACACTTCTATTTATAAAGTAAAAGTCGTAGTTAAAAATTGTTGATTCTACTTTAAGAACTAGATTTAGCTCTTTGGCTCAGATTCCAGGAATTAATCCTTACTGACATATTTTTCTCTTAAAGATATCTTTTACCCTGTACCAGGTACAGGGGTGCATGCCTATAATCCTAACTACTCAGGAGGCTTAGACAGGAAGACTGCAAGTTGGAGGTCAGACTGGGCAACTTGGGGGTGGCATTCTTCTAGGGGTTAGGGGCTTGGCTTAGTGGTGGAAGAGAGTGTGCCTAGCATGCATGAGGCTCTGGTTCTATTCCCAGCACCTGTGGGGGGTTTGTGGGCGGGACCTCTTTCTCTTACATGTGTGAAAGATTAATCTATATATTCAGTTTTAGATGGGACTCATGTATGATCATCCTAGAACCACAGATTGATTTTTTTTAACTTTATAGCCTCAGAAAGTTGAAATTATCAGTTTTCCTGAATAAGATCATAGTATAAACTCAGATATTAGTTTGAACCACATAGGCAAAGGAGCTGAGATTCACCAAAGCATAAAACCAGACTTTATTGTCTAGTATAATTCCTTAAGCCGGAAAACAGAGAAACAAGTAAGGGGCAAAAGTAGGATCTCTTGGGTTCTGGGAACTGATGGAAGAAAATGCTTATAAGGTGAAATCTTATTTAACCTGCCTAGTAAATACTACCTTCATGGGGAATGATCCTTCAGGAGACAAGGAGTAAAACATAAACTAGAACAAGAAGGAAGGGACTACACCTGGAAAGATTTTAAAAGAAACTGAGACTATCTCATACCAAACAACAACAGTTATACAATTCATATTCAGGCCAAAAGTCAGAGTAACATGGCTATATAAAGTGCTAACCAACAAGAGGCCCATGGGTTATGTGTAGGTCATCTGGTTCATAACCTGATTTCAACATGAAATTAGTCTAATAGAGATATTAAGCACAGGCTGCTGTCCTCACACCAGTTTCTGTAGGAATTTGCCCCTGCTATTTGGGCCAATGGATGCATAGTCTGATCTAAGGGAAATCAATTCATGAGCTGATTAAAAATTTCCGTGGCCTGGCACAAAAAAAGATAAATTTAGCTAATCATATTACCTGTTTTGGAAATTGGGTCAACGAAGCAGAGGTATTGATTGGTTCATGGGCAACTAAAAGCCCAGAGCCCCTACTGCTCATGTGTAAGCTAAAGTTATAAAGGAACAAAAGCTATGAGTACTGAAGGCCACTAGCTAGAAAGAAGAAAACAAAGTAAATGAGTGAAGAAAAACAGAATTACTGGAGAAAGGGGTTGGGGGAACCTTACATCTTCAAACAGAGCTCATTAGATTCATTTTTTCCAAAACCTGCCTTCCAGTTTAAATTGTCATTAGGCCCTATTATATTTTCCTAGAGTATATTTATCCATCTATCTATCCATCCATATATATATATTTATGCATATATATATTTATTTATATACACACATACACATAAATATGGAAGTGATTTATGTATACATATATGC